AATTACTGAGTCACTTAGCGGTGAAATTACTAAGTCACTGAACTCTCATGGGCGTTTGTGGAGAGTCTTTCTTTTAATGAATTAAACGCGTGGATGATGCGGTCAAAGCATTCTGTGCACGTGGAGCCATTATGAACAAGCACACCATTTTTAAGAGATTTTTTTTTTCGTCTCGTATTTTCTCTTTCGGGTTTTCTCTCTTTCTCTCTTTTTTTCTCTCTTTCTCTTTTTTCTCTTTTTTCTCTTTCTCTCTTTCTCTCTCTCTCTCTCTCTCTCTTTCTTTCTTTCTTTCTTTCTTTCTTTCTCTCTCTCTCTCTCTCTCTCTCTCTCTCTCTCTCTCTCTCTCTCTCTCTCTCTCTCTCTCTCTCTCTCTCTCTTCTCTCTCTCTCTCTCTCTCTCTCTCTCTCTCTCTCTCTCTCTTCTCTCTCTCTCTCTCTCTCTCTCTCTCTCTCTCTCTCTTTCTCTCTCTCTTTCTCTCTCTCTTTCTCTCTCTCTCTCTCTCTCTCTCTCTTTCTCTCTCTCTCTCTCTCTCTCTCTCTCTCTCTCTCTCTCTCTCTCTCTCTCTCTCCCTCTCTCTCCCTCTCTCTCTCCCTCTCTCTCTCCCTCTCTCTCTCCCTCTCTCCCTCCCTCCCTCCCTCCCTCCCTCCCTCCCTCCCTCCCTCCCCCTCTCCCTCTCCCTCTCCCTCTCCCTCCCTCCCTCCCTCCCTCCCTCCCTCCCTCCCTCTCCCTCCCTCCCTCCCTCCCTCTCCCTCCCTCCCTCTCCCTCCCTCCCTCCCTCCCTCCCTCCCTCCCTCCCTCCCAATAGAAATATTTAAAGTAATAAATAGTCTGTCTCCTATCCTCTCTGGTTTCTTTGAAAGGCAGGCTAATTGCTAAGTATGCCGAGGATAATAACATATTTATCTCGATGTAACAAGCCAAGATTTATGATGGGGTGTATTGTTAAGATCTCCCCCCCCCCGCAAAAAAAAAAATGATATAAGGAGCTGCCCTTTGATTTAAATTCTTTACGTCCTTAGTTAAGTATGCATCGAGGGAGGATCAAACGCGGACGTAAATTTATGCTAATTGTCGTAGTTATAGAGATGGGTTCATATTATGGGTGTAGTGTAGGGTTGTGGGAAGGAATATTAACTTGCCTTTTTAGATCGTCACTAGATAGTAATTAAATGAATATATAAAAGAATAAAAATATTAAAAAAAGAGAGAGAAGAAAGTGATTGAAGGTCGAGAACTCACCTTGCGATATTTAGCCGAGAATTTATGGCGATTGTAAATATTTATCTAATCGGGATTGAAGCCTAGAAGCCCGATAGAGAATGGGGGGAAAAAAAAGCTCGACTATGCTAAAAATTCGGTTGTTGTTTCAGCTGGTATTGCGTTATCAACATTATCTACGTTCTTTTGAACTGTTATGATATTATACTTATTTTACATTTCATTCGTACCTTGTTCTCCGTTTGTCAACACAGTAACGTGGACACAAAAAAGAAAGAAAAGGAAACAGCCACAATAAGAAGGCAGAAATTGAGAGCGAGACAGATAGAGACAAACAAATAACCGAACTGGACCTCGGCCGTGACCACTGCTCACCCGATGACCTCAGTTCGCTGGATGACTTCTTACAAAAAAAAAAAAAAATGCGTAGCTGATGATGACTTTCATACCCTTTTTTTCCCCCCCGTTTGTGTTTATGACCTCGATTCTCCCGGGAACCTGATGACCTCACCCCATGGCGCGTTCTACGATAACTTCCATACAATGTAAAAGTGCGCAGTTGACGTGAAGGACAGGGAGCTCCGACGGCGACCTGTCATAAGGCGCGGAGATTAAAGCGAACCTTCCTGGAGGCGGGAAGGGCGGGTCGCGCAGGTCCCTCGTGGGGCTGGGGCGTCGGGATGGTGGCGGAGGTGCCTTCAGTGTCACGACTGGGTTGTAGAATGGCATTGAAGGGTTGGATGGGGATGATGATTGATGTGTCTGTCTGTGTGTCTCTGTCCGTCTCTCTCTCTCTCTCTCTTTCTCTCTCTCTCTTTCTCTCTCTCTTTCTCTCTCTCTTTCTCTCTCTCTTTCTCTCTCTCTCTCTCTCTCTCTCTCTCTCTCTCTCTCTCTCTCTCTCTCTCTCTCTCTCTCTCTCTCTCTCTCTCTCTCTCTCTCTCTCTCTCTCTCTTTCTCTCGTACTCCCTCTTACTCCCTCTTACTCCCTCTTACTCCCTCTTACTCCCTCTCTCTCTCTCTCTCTCTCTCTCTCTCTCTCTCTCTCTCTCTCTCTCTCTCTCTCTCTCTCTCTCTCTCTCTCTCTCTCTCTCTCTCTCTCTCTCTCCCCCCCCCCCTCTCTCTCTCTCTCTCTCTCTCTCTCTCTCTCTCTCTCTCTCTCTCTCTCTCTCTCTCTCTCTCTCTCTCCCTCTCTCTCTCTCTCTCTCTCTCTCTCTCTCTCTCTCTCTCTCTCTCTCTCTCTCTCTCTCTCTCTCTCTCTCTCTCTCTCTCTCCCCCTCTCTCTCTCTCTCTCTCTCTCTCTCTCTCTCTCTCTCTCTCTCTCTCTCTCTCTCTCTCTCTCTCTCTCTCTCTCTCTCTCTCTCTCTCTCTCCTCTCTCTCTCTCTCTCTCTCTCTCTCTCTCTCTCTCTCTCTCTCTCTCTCTCTCTCTCTCTCTCTCTCTCTCATGCGGCTAATTAGTCATCCTACGCGGAGGATTGTCATAACTTTTAATAATCCACCAAATAGAGAAAATATCACTCACTCTTATTTTTATTCAAACAAGGTCTAAAAAGCAAAAAAAAAAAAAAAAAAAAAAAAATATCTACGAGTTGTGAGTCTCAGCAGCGACGGAGGTGAATGAGTCTAGAATTATGAATTATTTATGTAGCTTTTGCGCGAAGCTCCTTGGAGAGTTGCCACGCCGTCGTCCGTTTGTAAACACGACTTGATTCTGTAGTAAAATGCGTATTAGGGGTCTGTATCGGTCCTTTTTATTCATTTGACATCACCTTTTGCGTACAAAAACGGGTAATTTGGTTCGTAAGTGATAAAAAAAATGCGTTTGGTAGTTCTGTATAAAAAGGGTGTCATATCCGTTTACATCACCTGTTGCGTAAATAACGGATGTAGTAATTTGATTCATCACCTTTTACGTAAACAGCAAGTAGGTCATTTGCTTCATAAGAAAAAACAGACAAACAAGTATCAGTGTATTTTATGTTTACTGCTTTCTTTTACATAAGCATTGGGTATAGTAATGTTTCAGTGCCCCACCCCCCACCCCTCGCCTTCAGTTGTTTCTCTCATGGGCGTGTCTCTGATGACGATGGGTGTTGATGACTGTGCATGGCGTTAGGAAGGTGGTCTTGCATACTTCTGCAATGGGGTCATGCAGTGGAGGTAACTCGTATTAACATTTAAACAATTGACACTCCTTGGGCGCGAGTTAGGTTCCTCGTTGCACCACGGTAATGCGTTTTGCGGTGGGTGATTAAGCAGCCCGTTTGACGCATTGTCACGTTATCAATGATGGGGAAAGCTCTCTCATCTCTCTTTCTCTTGCTCTCTCTTTCAGGTTCTCGTTCTGTTTGTCTGTCTGGCTCTCTCTCTCCCTCTATGTTTTTCTGATATTTTCTCTTTCTCTTGCTATTTTTTTCTGATTCCCCTCCTCCCTCCCTTCTTCTTCTCCCTCTCCCTCTCCTCTCTTCTCTCTCTCCTCTCTCTTCTCTCTTCTCCCTCTGTCTCTCCCTCTTTTTCTCTCTGTTTTTTTCTGTCTCTGTCTCTGTCTCTCTCCTCTTTCTTCTCTCTCTCCCTCTTTACCCCCCTCTTACTCCCTCATCCCTCCCTCTTCCTCTTTATTCTCCTCTTACCCCTTAGAGCAGCGCCAAGCAAATGACACCGACAGATCACGAGGAATTCAAGAGGCACCTCCACGGCAGAGATCGATCCCGGTGTCGCGTTATGTAAAAGTACCTATATTGTTTGAAGTCATGACACTGTTGAAAGTCTCTCGTGATTAAGAGTACCCATACTGTTAAGAGTACTTATGCTGTTTAAGTGGAATCGTGTTATTAAAATGCTCAAGCAGATTAAAAGTAAACATATTATTGAAAGTACTTGTACTATAATTTTCTTTTGTAGATGAATGTGTTTTACGGTTTTCTTTATTCATCTTAATTTATTAATGTGCAATTTGCTTTATTAGAGAGATGGAAATTAACTGTTGCACTAGTATATGTAGATTACATAATTCAAGTACACCAGTTGCTGACCCCGTTGTTATCAGGGTGGGAGGGATAGGGGGAGGGGGAGGGGGCGAAAAGGGGAGATAGGAAAGAAAGACGGAGAAAAGGAGACAAGCGACAGGAGGAGGAAGGAGGGAAGAAATGCAAAGCGATTGTGGCTGGTTCGTCGAAAGGAAATGCACTTTCCATCACAGCTTGTTTATAAACTACACTATAACAAGGAAGGAGGACAACGTACGCCACGTACGAGGAGCAGGTGACGTGGCAGAAGAGCGGAATTGGTATTGATTTCGGCGACAAGCTATGGCACTTACAGCACTTGGACTGTAGCTAGGAAGGGGTTTGTTGCCGTAACGCGCCGGCAACACCTGGACACGCTACTTTCAACTCTTAGATCAGGTGTTTTGTGTTGTAGGCAGAGAGTATTTTGAAAATGGGGTTTCCGGGTTCATTTCTGTCTTTTTCCTATTGAATTCTTCTTTATATTTTTTATATTTTATATTTTTTAATCTATTTATTGCTATTTTTATGTTAGGGTATCGTACACCATAATTTTTGGTATATTTACTTTCACTAATCCAAAAACAATAAGCATATTATTATTGTTGTTGCTTTGTTTATTCCTCTCATAAGATTTGATGTTCTCACGATTTAAGTTTTTTTTTTATAATCATCTTATGAATATTGAATGAATCTGAATGAATCACGACTGCCTTCCGATTAAAACGATCGTTAACAATTTCGTTTATTTTCCCTTGCAATGACGTGATGTCTGCGTGATGTCGATGTCCGTTTCAGGCATTCGTCGCCTCTCATTGGTCGATACCAGAATGAAGTTCAGGTGATGCATGGAAGATAATTGTGATGGTTGTGATGATTGTGTTCATTGTGATAGGCCTAGTTGTGATGGTTGTTTTGTGTTCTACCTTCTGAATGGCAAATTTAGTTCGCATTTTTTTATTATTTAATTTTCTTTATTTATTTATCAGTTGTTTCTCTATCTGTTCATCAAGTATCTATTTGTTTATTTTCGTTTAGTTTTTATCGCTTTTGCTATTTATATATTTATTTTATATTTATCATTTAATGATTTATTTATCCGTGCTAAGGGTATTATGATTTGAAAATATAAGTGTCTGTCATCACTCTGTAAGGAAAATGCGCCGAATATCTTATCTCGAGAATCAGATTGTGTCAGAAGTGCAATTAAGTCAAGTGCAATTAAGAGTTTCTTTTTAATTATTTATTCATTGTTTGTTTGTTTGTTTGAATTAGCATTGGCATTCATTTAATCACCGGTTGGGAAAGTATAATCGTTTGGTTTAGTTGCGTCTGATGAATGGGCGTCTCACAGGGTTGCGTTATGAATTTTGGGCGTAATGTAATTCTGTGGTCCGAGGCAGCAGGTGATATATGATGACTTTCGAGTGCTTTGTATCTGGTTGGTTATGGCCCATGATACTTGAAGAAATAGGTTGCAGTTGTGTGCTTATTTTTTTTTTCAAATACGTATGTAAACGTATGCACGCACGCACACACACGCATGCACGCACATGCATACACACACACGCTCACACACACGCTCACACACACACACGCTTACACACACACGCTTACACACACACACACACACACACACACACACAC